TAGGGTGCTTAATCACCCTTCTGTATGGTTTCTGGGTAATATGTATGGTATTGAGTAACTGGCAAGCTACTTGGCATTTGTACAGCATGCAACAGTAGACTACTTAGTCAGTGCATCTAAATAATTATATATAAGAAATACTTGTGGAAATTAACCCCTCCATCTTACAGAAATAACCATGGCAATCTGTGTGGAGATAGCAGCTATTACTGCCCACATACCGATTGGTTTTGTTTCCCTATCTAACCCTGAAGTAAACAGTGTAACTGGCACAGAATATGAAGGGTTTTCTTTACTGTTTAATGCTTTTCAGTGGATTCTGCTACCGCAGTTGCATTGGCTAGTTACTCCTGCTAAACTGTAAAACGGCTCAGGAGGGAACCGTTTCAGAATTGTTTGAGAGCAAGCCAGAAGTGTAATGCCTGCATACATAAAACATATTTTAAAAGGAAAAAGTTAAAGCTCAGTGGGAGTTGTTGGTGATCTGCCTCTGTTAAGATGAAGCGTACAGTTTCCCTTTATCAAATAATTTTAAGGTGAGCAACTCCGCAAGATGAGGAGAGGAAAAAAATAGTCTAGTAAAAACACCTGTGTGGTTCTCTCTTTAGTCTATGAGGAAAAACATAGAGGAAGAGATATCAGATTCTTGGATTTGTTCTCCAGGCTCTGTCCACACCTATTTTAAGCTCCTTGGCTGTATTTTCCCTCTGTTTTCTAGAAGAATTTTTATTATTCAAGGTCCTGATGTCCAGCCTAAGTGTACTTGTGCTCCACTGGTACCTGCTTGTGCTTCAGCTCTTAGAGCAATGTGGAGTTGATGTGAAATACCACTGAAGTCTGGCTGTAAGCACGGTCAGTCTGACTCTAAAAACGGTATGGTCACCCAGACAGCTGCTTGGTAGTTTCCAGGATGGTTTATGGTTCTATTTTAACCTCAAAATAATTGAGTGTGTCCCTGTATCTTTGTGTGCCCTGTAGCCACCAGAGGAAGGTTGAGGTGGTGCACATGGATTCATCTATACGCAGCCTCCGGCTCCTGCATGCTGCATTTATCTACCACAGCAGCGTAATCCTCCGCTTTTCAGCCAGACACTTGGCAATTAAGACACGATCTGTCCTACTTAAGGTATAAATAAGCCTTTAATGTTACTTGGGGATTACGCTAGGAAAGAGCAGCTCTTTTGAAGACAGTTCCCGCACAGCAGAGTCTGCAGGGCAGGCGTTGGCCCTTGCAAGCTGTTCGAATAAGGGGAAGGTAATGGTTTCCAAACCGACTGTACGTACAGAGAGCAGTGCCAGCTTCTAGCTACCAAAATACCGAATTGGCCTTTGTCACTTGTCAGAAGTATGCATATGAAGGGTAGGCTCCCTGTATCTTTAGATCAAGCGCACATGTCCATGCAGGCAATTATCACCATTAAGTTTACTGGCTTAAAGAAAAGAGGGTGGCTGAAATGCTCACTTGGAACTAGAGTTTCAATAGTGTTTTGGGTAGTAGTGATGTAGTAGTGGACTGAAGTGGGGTTAGGTCCCTGATCCTCCACATATTTCATATGTGATCAGGGGGTAAGCTGTTAACACAATTTAAACCCTCTCCCTGTCTTTGATTCCAGCAGCGTCTGTGGGTGTGAGATTTAACTGCTTTCTACTCCCAGAAGTGAAACGAAGGGCCGTTCTCTAAGGGACAGACAGGAATGTACTAAAACAAATGCGAGACACAGAGGCTATGATTTGACTGAAGAGTTACTCAGTTGAGTGGTGGTGCTCTGTGTCCTGCCACCCTCCTCCTCCTCCTTGTCCCTGTGCTGGGCTGGCTGAAGCATTGGTGTGGTCTCATGGGGACCAGGCAGATTAGAAATAGAACTGTCTGAAGAATTAATTTTTTTTTTTTTTTTTAGCCGAATCTGTTTCCCAATCTTGTTCGCTGCGCAACTACCTAAATGCTTTACCTGGCACAAGGCAGGGGGCAATGCAAGGCAGGAACAAGCAGTCAGGGATAAGTGTTGATTCAATTACTGCTAAGTGCTGGTGAATTAGACGCAGAACTGCAGCTTCAGTCATGGTCATGTAGCGTTGCCTATTGAGCAGGTATTTGTTATGATAAATTACATGTTTCTGTCCCAGTGATGTGCCAGAGATGCTTTCTGGGACTTGCAGAAGTGCTGAACTGTGTCTCGTATGTAAATGCTCTGACACTTGGCCTCTCTCATTGTATGCCCATGCTACAAAATGGTAAACATGAAGGTCCTCAAACTTGGGCTGCATTCTTCAAAAGAGAAGCTGACCGTGACTTGCAGCAAGTTCTGTGTGATGTGGTGATGATGTGGTACCAAGCAAACCGACAGCATGGCTAGCCTTGGCTCTGGGAGCTCATGTGTCAGGAGTGATGTCAGAGAGAAATGGAGAAACAAAAAAGAAGCACTAAAATGTGATTAAGATGTCACTGTTAAGGTTTTGCTGTTTTGTCATGCAGTTGTCTTCTAGCATGAATACATCCTTTGTATTTTCTACAAATGCAGGGAGGTTGTTCCCAGTTCCCATTAGCCTGGTAGGAAGGACTTGAAATGAGCAGGGTGGTGGCTGGCCCCATCGGATGCGATGCTATGGCTGGGAACACATTTTTAAAACAAACAAAAAGCAGAGAAGCAGACACGGCTACTTGGTTTTGTACATTCTGCTTGTCTGCGTTACTCCCAGTTGACTTTTTTCAGTGAATGTCATTCCTCAGCCTTTTTTTTTTTTTTTTTTTTTTACGTACTGCTTAACTCTCTCTTTCTAAATATCGCAGCAGGAGCCAAGCCTTACCTAATAAGCATTGGTTTTGCACAGTGTCATCATCTGAGAGACTTGGCTTTGTTCTTGTGGTGAGTAATAAGGTTTTTGGAGGATCAGACACATTGTGGGGACAGGGGGGTGTACATAAATATAAAAACAAAGGCACAAAATATATATTTTTATATATAGACAGATCTGTATTCGCAACTCTGATTCTGTATTGTGGCAGCCCCCACACTTAGAAATGTGCTTCTGGGCTATGGCGG